AGGTATACAAGCAGCTAAAGAATTAGAAGATAAATATGATATACATTGTAATATGACATTAATTTTTTCTTTTGTACAAGCATTAGCATGTGCTGATGCTCAAGTTACATTAATATCACCTTTTGTTGGAAGAATTTATGATTGGTATGTTGAAAAAAAGGAAAACATGATTTTAATATTGAAGAAGATCCTGGTGTTGTAAGTTTAACCATTGCTTTTTTTGTTTGTTATTTCATAAAATAAATAATATTATTTAGATGAGTGTAACACGTATTTATAATTATTATAAACAAAATAATATAAAAACAGTTATTATGGGTGCTTCTTTTCGAAATATAACTTGGTTTAGCTGGTTGTGATTTATTAACAATAAGTCCAAAATTACTTGATCAATTAGCATTAGAACATACGAAAGATAATGAAAAAATTCAAATTTATTTAAATAAAGAACAAATAAAACAAAAACATGAAAAACTTGATGAAAAAACATTTCGTTGGATGTTAAATGAAGATGAAATGGCTAATGATAAATTATCTGATGGAATACGAAAATTTGCTGCTGATGCTCAAAAACTTGAAGATCTTATTCGAGTTCGTCTTCAAAATAATAAATAAATAATTATTATTATTATTTATCTTTCTTTATTCATATACACTCATCTTATTCAATTCGTCCAAAAAAACTTTTCTTTATTATTTATTCGTCCGTTTCTTTTTTTTTTTATTGTGATTTTCCTAGAAATAAACTTTATTCAACAAATTGTTGAAAAATCCATCACTCGATTGAATTACAATATGACATTTCGTATGTAGTTTACAGATCATTTTAAAAAATTTTTTTTTGTTTTAGAAGAAAAAACAAACTTTCTTCAGTCTATGTCAAATTCATATAAATATTTTACGTTTTCAGTAATTTAATCAATTTATATGCTTCTTTCATCATTTGATTTCATACTCATTCAACATTAGGGATAGCAGTTTAGCGTTAGTATTATGATTCGAAAAGTTTTAATCTAATGCTAGTGCCTTTAGTTTCCAAAAACAAAAAAAAACAGAACAATTTTATTCCGTTATGGAAAACTACTCTCAATAAAAGAATAAAACGTTAGAATACAAATAATTCTATTCGTATTATAAATTAAGTCTAATCATAGTTTATGTAAGAAATCTGCTAGTTGTATTTAACAGTTAAATAACAGATAAAGATGATCTTAGAAATAATTTTATTAAATTGATACTATGGTATATTGATTAGATTATAAACGTTTTTCAATAATAACAAAAGAAATAATAGTTCAAGTTCATTTTAATATAAAGAAGTGATTTATATTTATTC